CCGGAAACTTACTTTGAACTTAATAAATCAAAAACGCAGGATTTGCGGAATTGTGTTTATATAGACTTTTGTCCTTCTTTTTCTGTGAGGAGCCCGCCACCAAAGTTTTAAAAATTATCTTTGATACATTTGGTATATTTTTATATAATATATATATATATATATATATATATATATATATATATATGGGTGTGGGTGTATGTGTGTGTGTGTGTGTGTTCAAGGCGAAACGAAATGAATTTATTAAACAAAGTAACTAATAATAAAACAAAATGTCCTTAGTAACTGGAAGAATTTAGAGAAAGCTATCTTTGTACTGTTAACTGAAATTGCGTCAAATACTGTCAGGTGTTTTTATTGCTGTGTTGACGGATTCAACCATTTTCTTTTGATTTCTTGATACTGTTCTGTACGTTTGTTTGGGAGAGTAGTAATTCTGTTAATAAAGGTGAAATAGGGAAAAAGACTGGACATAGATTAATATTTGGGTAATATTCAATGCCAGCACTCTCGAGGATTTTCCTTCATCTATCTATCTATCTATCTATCTATCTATCTATCTATCTATATATATATATATATATATATATATATATATATATATATATATATATATATATATAGAGAGAGAGAGAGAGAGAGAGAGAGAGAGAGAGAGAGAGAAATATTGATATAGATAGAATAAAGAGAACGTCAGATAAAATGAGGGCAAGCTTTATAACACATAGACAAATCGATATACATTGATGTAAAGAGATAATATTTCTACAATTTGTTTGCATTTAATTTTTATATGGTGTCTCTACCTGACAAAAACACACTTATAATCACATGGCAATCTTGTCTGTAAACAGTTTTTTCTCTATGATTTATAAAAATATCCACTCAAACTAACTCTCCAGAGAAAAAAGAAGTCCTGAATGAAAACTTTAATAAATATTTGCCAACATTTGAAAACTTTGGAGGAATTCTAAAACAGATATGGCGTGAAATGAAGTCATTCATTCTTAAAAGTATTGCTAAAGGTCTTATATGAAAATGAATAAATGGTAAATAAATAACAGTCCCTTAGCCTCAAAGAACGAAACCAGAAAAAAAAGCAGGTATAAAATCGTCAAGGTAAATTAAAAACGTATAATCACCTCATCTACAGTCAGAAAATATCTTCTATTCGCAGGTGGCTTGAATTACAATGTGGCTTCAGTCTAATTAGGTGCTCGAAGACGAAAGACAGATACTTACCCAGGGGTCTTTCACATTACCAAAAAAGCCTTACAAAAATGGACTCCGCCTTTTTTCATGTTGCCTCGTATATCCTTATTTTTTAGATACTTTTTTTTTCTTATCACGAGCGCCGATCGAAATAGGAAGCCATCGATTGTGTCGATTCAATTTCATTATCTGACAATGTACAGCAAATTCTTTCCCAAGAAAAGTGGCTGGTCTTTTCCTTCTTTTTTTTTCTTTAATAGTAGAAACTTCAGTCTCAAGATGATTTTGCTTTTTCTTTTGAAACAATCCTTCACAGCTTCTCTCAGTTAAAAAAAACCCCCAAAACACAAATATCATTGATTGTAATCCCATCATTATTCAGAAAAATGAGCATATATCAAATTTATATTTTGAAAGACAAATAAAACATCTCGTAATAAATCATATTTATTCTACTTTATCTGCAACTCGATTAATCCATCAAAAAACGTTCACATAATTTAAGGCCCAAGAGCCGCTCAAGGTAGAGGGTTACTAAATGCGGTTGTTGTCAGGACGTAGAAGAGTGAAGTGAGTGCAGACTATATGGGGGTGTAGGAGTACTTCACTAGATCAATTACAACTGACTAGTAGGTTCGATCCTCACCGGGAGCTCCATATTTTCGGCCTTCTGCTACATCTAAGTTACTCTTAGTACACCCTTATATGGGTATGTAAGATAGGTAACGGTCGTCTCTAGACATGAAGAGTTTCAGATTGTAGCGTTCGAAGAAACATCCTCTTGGGTGTCTGTTCTATAAGGAATCGGCTTCTTACAAATGAAATACGAAGAAAAGGAGGAGGTTTAGCCCCTGTGTACATGACATTACTATTCGTAGCTATAATGGTTGAATTGGTGGAACTAAGTAATATAACTTGTCAGAAGATTTTTCCCTTGAAATAGCGATAAAATAGCAACAGGTTTGCAATGTTGAACCTGTGGGGTAAGAGTGAAAATTATTTGTATTTACTCAACCCACCACGTGCTCAGGTTGTGAAACATGGTCGGTTTAATGTGGGGAGTCGTGGACCCGGGTATGGAACAAAAATTCACCGCTCCCCTGCAACCGTCTGTTGCGCTGGCCTCGGTGCGTGCACCGATCCTTCTCTCTAGTGTAATGAGAAGGCGCGACCTCGAACAGCTGTTCCCAAGGGCCGGCGTCTCTCAGTATAATTTTTCTCAGTTGCAAATCTGTCCTTTGACGGAATAGCCCCTGAGTGCATTCTGTCCAAAGACAGAGACGCAATTGAGAGATTATGAGTAGACGTGAAATTACTCAAAATAGTAGATATTTACTCAACCCACCACGGGGTCAGGTTGTGATACAAGGTCGGTTTAATGCGGGGAGCCTGAGCGCGTGCACCCGGGCAAGGAACAAAAATTCCCCGAACCCCGCAACCGTCGGTTGAGCTGGCTTCGGTGCGAGCACCGATCCCTCCCTCTGGTGCAATGGAAGGACGCGGCCTTGGGCAGCTGTTCCCCAGGGCTGGGAACCTCTTCAGTATAATTTTTCTCAGTTGCAACTCTGTCCTTTGACGGAATCGCCCCTGAATGCATTCTGTGAAAAGACAGAGACGCAACTGAGAGATGATAAGTAGACGTGAAATTACTCAAAATGAGTAGATATTTACTTAACTCCCACGAGGTCAGGTTGTGATACAATATCGGTTTAATGTGGGCTGGGCAGCCTCTTCACCCGGGCAAGGAACAAAACATCTACCGTCGGTTGCGTGGCCTCGGTTTTCCTCTGGTGCAATGAGAGTTGCTGGGCACCTCTTCAGTATAATTTTTCTCAGTTGCGACTCTGTCCTTTGACGGAATCGTCCCTGAGTGCACTCTACCCAAGGACAGAGATGCAATTGAGAGATGATATGTAGACGTGAAATTACTCAAAATGTGTAATTTACGCGATAAAAAGAGTGAAAATAATTTATCGCCCCCAGAGCCGTGTAAATGCTGTTGAAACATTTAATTATGAAATTGTAAACTTTGAAGTAATGGATAGCTGCTCAGATTGAGTAATAAGAAACTCAAGTTCGATTTCCAGTAGAGTTCATCAATTTCATTTACAAGCTAATGCCCTTCTGAAACGTATGGATCCATTTCTCTCCACCCAGGCATTGGGTAAATAGCAGAACAGACTGACTCGTATAGCGTTGTTTAATAAACAGTCTAAGAGAAGGAAAACCTTAAAGGCTTGAGCTTCGTTAGGGTGTCTTGAACAAGACATACTACGGCAGCTTTGGTGCTAGTAGATATGATGCTCCTACGACTGGAAACTTGGGTTACAATTTTAGATATTTCTTTTATGTACCATGTTCATACAGATCGTGGTCGATAATGGCACTCCACAACAACCCGTGTTTAGTTTCACTAAGCAACATTTGACGCTTTACCATTCCTCTTTATTCCTATTTTGCCATTTAATCACATTAAATAGCTTACCCGATGTTACCAGCTGTTTTCTCTTGCATTCATTATTTATATATTCTGGTTTTATATTTTATAATGTATTTTGAATATTTCTTATGTATAAACACTATTTAAAATATAATTTGTAAATGTTTAGGAATAAAGTTTTGTTTTCTTTTTTTCAATTTCTCCCAAAGATTATTTCTGGGGATTCTGATCTTTTGGGATTTTGATAGATTCAGGATTTTTAAATTTCAGTATTTTTAAATTTCAGTATTTTTAAATTTCAGGATTTCAACATTTGGGATTGTAAGTGCTTATCGCGTTATCGGAGAGTTTCAAAAAGTCCAGCATCACGTGGAAAGCTAATGTGAACGCATTCTCCGAGGAGAGTTTACTCCAAAAAGAAAAAGAAAAAGTAAAAAAAAAGAATGTGTGTTTTATCGTGATGAAAGACTTAAATATTTAGTTTACGATCGTAAAAACCGACCAGATCTTATGGACTATCTTAGTGCTCTTGCTCATAATGTTTTATTATAAATTATTCATATAGTGTGCTTTTATATTTTTTAATGAATTTTGAATGTTTCAAATATATAAACACTATTTAAACGCTATTGTGTAAATGTTCAGTACAGTCTTACTGATCCGCTAGAACCAAAGTTGTTGATTGATTTATTGGATGATTCGTTTTTTACGGCTTAACAACCCTTTGCAAGTTATTTCAAGCTATAAAATATTTTTACATAGATTGTAATATTTTTTTGGTGGTGGGGAGATAATAATGATTTTAGTGAAATGAGACTTACTAATTAACCTTTAGCTTGGGGGAAAGAAGAGGTGGATTCATGCCTTTAGTTTAGTTTAGTTTAGTTTACGACCGTGAAATCCCGCTAGATCTTAGGGACTATATTAGGTCTCTTGATCATAATCTTTTTAATGAATTTTGAATGTGTCAAATGTATAAACACTATTTAAGCACTATTGAAACGCTGTTTTGTAAATGTTCAGTACAGTCTTACTGATCCGATAGAACCAAATTTGTTGATTAATTGGATGATTTGTTTTTTACGGCTTAACAACACATTGCAGGTTATTTAAAGCCAGAAAATATTTTTACAAAGATTGTAATAAATTTTTGTGGGGGGTGGGGGGAGATAATAATGATTTTAGTGAAACGAGACTTTCTAATTAACCCAAACCTTGGAGGAAATAAGCGGTGGATTCATGCCTTTCTCAAGGGTATTTGCGCGTAAGTGAATATAACGAATCCAACTGGGATTGGAACTCGGCTATCCGTCTAACAGTTATCCATTAAACCAACTGCATACACAATCTTGCAGCATCTGGTATTCCCAAGAGGTCACCCATCGAGCTACTAACCAGGCTTAACGCTGCTTAACGTAATCGTAAGAGAAACGGTGATTTTACGGGAACCGAGGTTTTAACGCTATATGGCCGTGAGGCATCAATCTTGTGAAAGACTGTGAGTAATATATTGAATGATTTTCTTGCTATTCTAAAATACGTAAATGGTAACAATCCATTCTATCAACTCATAGTATAATAATGGAAATCGGATGTGCAGGTGGTGCAATCAATAACGTCTCGTAATAAGAAATCGAAGATCCGGGGTTCAATTCTAGTTGAGATCGTTATATTCACTTACGCGCAAATACCCTTGGGAAATTCATGAATCCATCCTTTCTCTCCCCAGCTATGAGTTAAATAACAGTAAAGACTGCATCCTATAGCCTTGGTTTACAACCAGTTTACAGAAGAAAGTAGCGGCAGTCTACTGCGGGAATAATTCTGGTAAGTCAATCATGAATCAAAAAGAGACATGATCGCCAAAGGTGACATCACGCATGATACCAATGGAAGGAAGTTGGCAGTACATAGAATGATACAGACGGCTAATTTGTAATGATCGGCGAGATCACCAAAGAAGATGGGTATCTTTGTCTTGACATGAAGTTTCACTGAATAAGATTGCTAATCGACGGATACACGAATACATACGACGTATTCCGTTCATCCGGGTTTTTTAAGGTCATTCTGCAGGTATGATCTTTCCCTTTATTTGAATTCTTTCAACGTTTATTCTCTTTGTTTTCTTTATTTCATTCTTCTTTTCTTTTAGTTTCACACAATTCTCCTCTCATTTCCACCCCACCCAACACCTCTCTTTGTTTTTTTTTCCGGCGAAGAAACAATCCATTTCTCTATCGACCCTAAGTCCATATGGAATTCGCACTGGTAAATGTCATGGCGAGCGAACTGTTTCTTACCTCGGCGCCAATTCCACAGCAGCAGATAAAAGAGTGAAACGGCATCGATCCATTCCGACCAATCTTGAAGACCGGACACCACCTCCTGCTTTTGATATCAATTCAAATGAGATTGGCCATCTTAATGATACCCGGGTTTTACCACGGAAGACTTGAAAGGTTGATAGGAAAAACAAGAAGCCCCAGGTTCGATTCCAACTGTGCTTTTTAAGATCACTCGGGTCGCCGTTTCATCCCCCTTGGTTTTTCACGGTTGCTTCGTCTTTGCTATTTACTTTTAATCATATAATTTTGCCCTATCGTCATCGCCTTCTACTACTTTTTCGTCGTCTTTTTCCTTCATCCTTTTCATCCCATCACTGATACAATCATTTTGCACTTTATTGAATATAGTCATTTTCAGCTCCAATATTTTATTCCTCTTTTGACGCCATTACAATCATTATTATTGTCTCCCATACTTATTCTTTTCCTCTTATTTTCCCTTGCGCGTTCGCTGCCAAGCTTGTCCGAATTTCCGGAAATACTACTACTACTACTTGCTTTTATTCTCTCATCCTTCTGCTTCTGCTCTTCCTCTTTCTTTTTCTTCTCTCCTTCTTCTACTGCACTTTGCCCTCATTCGCCTTCTTCTTGAAAATGTTAGCAAGCTATTCCGAAGTGTCCCAGTAATTTCTTACATACCTTCTTTACATTTGAATGAATTATATTCAGTTGTTTTTACTGCCACTTAATTTGTTTGTTTTTTCTTTTTCGTTCCTCTATTCTTTCTTCATAACCGTTTCTTCTTTTCTCTTGTTATTTCTTCGTATTCTTCGATACATATTCTATGACAGTTTCTATACGTATTCTATATATGCCAGGTTTATTCTTTGATTTCTTTTTAATTTGTAACATTCATTTGTGGGGGAAGGATCTTTTTCATTCTTTTATTTCCTCATGTTCGTCTCCCTTCTTTTTTTTCTGTACCCCTGTCTTTCGTTCTTTTTCTTTCTTTCTTTCTTTCTTTCGTTCTTTTTCTTGCTTTCGTTCGTTCGTTCTTTTTCTTTCTTTCTTTATTTTTTCTTTCTTTCTTTTTTCTTTCTTTCTATTTTCTTTCTTTCTTTTTCTTTCTTTCTTTTTTCTTTCTTTCTTTTTTCATTCTTTATTTCTTTCTTTCTTCATTCTTTCTTTCTTTCTTCATTCTTTCTTTCTTTCTTTCTTTTTCGTTTAATTTTCTCCTTTTCTTTTTGTGTGCTCTCTTTTTCTATTGATTCTTCTCATTGTCCTTTGTCTTCAATCGCTGATTTCTTTTTTGTCATCGTCCGTTTTCCCTTTTTTGTCGGTGTTTATCTCTTGTCTCTTATTTTTTTTTTGTTACTCTTTTCACCTCTTTCTTCCTCAGTCTACCATTGATCGCCTTTTTGAAATTCTCTGTCTTCCACCCTTTTAACTAACAAGCAAAGAGAACAAAAAATTGCGTCACAAAACGCCAGCAAAAACAGGCGTTAACAGAAAAGCACAAACAATATACGAGACTGAAAGGCAGCAAATGTGAGAGACAGGACAAAGAAACAGTAGGAAACTGGATGCATAGACGCAACCCTGAGCCGTAAGGAGAACTAACCATGAGTACACGCTTAAAAGTAACACTCCCGATTTATCACATCACATTTCCGTCATCGAAAATTAAGTTCCGGTTGAAAATCAGAGGCTTGTCATTCTGACTCAGCATTTTTTTCTTCTTCTCTTTGCTTTCCATTCTATTAAACACATTTCTTTCTTGGCTTCTTCTGTATAGCCGTCTCCTGCAACTTTTTTAAAGCTAAATGTTCACCCAATATAGTCTCAAGAGCCACTCATTCTAGAGGAGGAAGTATGTGTTGATCATGGGGATAAATAGGATAGAAAACGGTTGACGTATTCTGAGTGGAACTTTGTAATGGAATACGAAGGGACTGAAGACTACATATCTACAATGGCCCGTGTTTCAAAAACTGAACTAATGACTGCTCTATCTGCTTTTACGACCGATTTTCTTAAAAAAGTGCATCTTATAGTGCAGTGTAACTGGGTTCTGGCGACAGCTCTAGGAGAATGAAAAACTCAGAATTCAAAACATCCAACTATTGATAAATGGCAATAGAGCCTGGGTTCTATAGCCTTGGGTGGCGACCGGTCTAGGAGAATGAAAAACAGCAAGGCCTCATTATTTTACAGTTAAAACGGCTAGATGTAACCGCAACTTCTATGCTAACCGTTTCTTCTTGTAGAACTATCTTACGACTTCTTGCTTCCCAGTCATCTTTGATGTTCAAAAATTTTAATTCATAATCAATCTTTATCTTCTGACTTCTTATTTCTGGTTCGTTTATTATCCTCTCTCCATAACAGTATATTTGTTTCTGGTATTCTTTCGCACTGAGTAGCCCTTTGCATATTAGTGGCTTTATTTCTTTGCTTGGGATGAAACGATTAAAAAAAGTACTTATTGTTTATTCTGGTCACAAATTGAAGCATTACACCACTCCTGATGATGACTCACGAGAGTCGAAAGCTCGAACACGGCAATTATACTGATTTTAGAAAAGAGTATATCGCCATTTAAAAAAAAAAATGATGGTCAGAACTTATCAGCATAAAAAACGAATAGCATTTACTTTATGTTTAGAACATCGCAGAAATGTATTTTTAAACCAGACATTAACCAGACCAGTGAGTACACTTGGGGGGGGGTCACTCTGTTCATGAAAGAATATATTTGTTGTAGCAGAAGAAAGCGAATACTTAAAAGCCGTAGAAGAAAAAGCGAAAGAAAGAATAAACAGTTAAAGAAATTGGAACAAGAGCTGAAAGCAAGTTTGTATAAAGTTATATTCCTTAAGTAGAAGTATTAAAGGAAAAACAAAAGATGGAAAAGAACAAACAAAAAGCAATCATACATGAATGTAGAAGAAGAAAGAAAGAAAGAAAGAATGAGTCTGAAACTAGGAAGAACACTGAAACGTATCAGAGCCAGAAAGAAAGAAAAAAAGAGAATAAGTAAAGGAAGAATAAAAAAAAAAATATTAAAGAATGAAAGATTGCATGATTATAATAAAAGCGAATTAAAAAGTATAAAAAGATAAATTCCCAGCATTCTATCAATGAAAATCTTATATATAAAGTACAGTGCGTGTCTTTTTGTACGTTTGTTTGTCCAAGCAACTCCCCCGCTACCACTGGTCCGATGTCAATGATTCATAGCTCATACAAAAGCCCTAGAAATGTTAGGCGCAGGGAACGATTTTCGTTGAGCTCATATTCAGGGTTGCTAGACTATGTGAGGTTAAACATATATATTAATATATTATAATAGCCATAATCGTTACTTTCATGGTTCAAGGCGGGTAACTCTTAATTTCCTTTTGGATCCAAAATTTCAGCCCACGTCTTATTATAATTGTGATGATGGTCAAACCAAGAGTCCTCCACGGGATTCTTGGTTTGACCATCATCATAATAGCTAGGGAGTAGTAGATGCAATAGGCATCAATAAGTTACACAACTCAAAATTGATCGGTGCATTTAAGAATTAATGTTTAAGCTTACCTTTTAAAAGTTCAACGATAATTCTTCCGCTGCCACTTAATTTAAAGACGATTTGATGTACGCAGAACCTTATTTTCCGTGAAAACAATTATCTTTTTTATTTCATGGGTGATAAAAGTTGGGATAATTATTAAGTTAAAGTTAATGTAGCGTAAACATCGGAAAATAGGATTAGTTGTACATTCAACATTTGAAGAGTTAAAGAAACATAGCTAATTAAGTAAAACCTGTATTATAGTATCTATATGTATAAATGTGAAATAGGAAGGCAATTCTCCGAAGAAATCTGAGATTAAAACCCGCCAGCTCTAATTTATAGCATTAAGCATAAAAAGCTTAATATCCGTATTATATATTATTTACTTAAAGGCAATATTACTCATCAGGTTTAACTAATTTGCATATTGATTTTTAAAAAGTTTATTTAATTAATTAACTGCCCTTCATTACTGTTCTTTTATTCGGGGATTTGTTTTGATTTTCATATAAAAAATAGTTCAGTTTCGGAATATCGTCTTATATAGTACATAAAAGTGTTTGAAATTTGCATTTTACGAGCCAATTTATTCATTTAAAATTTTTGTTTCAAAGATTTCAAGTAGTGAATATATCTTACTTTGTGACGCGATAGCGAGTGAGTGAAGCCTGGTAGTTATTGATAAAACAACTGAGTACAATTCTCATTGATTGCACAACGACTGGATTCTCGTAACGGATTATCTCTCAGTCGGTGTATCATCCGAGTTTGAAAGTCCATTTCAGTTGGTTCTCTTCTTTATCTGCACAATGTACTGCAGTGAGATGAATTTGTTAGATTATCTCCCCAGCCAGATTATGTGAAAAACATTTATATTAATATATTATAATAGCCTTAATTTTCATGAAAAAAAAATACTTCTTTCCACTTACATTATTCAGACTATTGTCCTCATCTTTGTCGCCATATTTATTACAACGTTTCGGCCGTTGTACGCTCCGGCCTTCTTCAGGTGGTTGGAATGTCGAACTGAACCCTTTATTTCGCTCACTGTGGTAGACTGTTCTAGTTCCACGTGTCATGTCTAATGGATATCAGTTATCAGTTATCTCCTGTTAATTCCCCTCTCCAGTGTCCTCAAAGACACTTGGCACAGTGGATAAAGGCGTTGGTTAGATCCAATGACAGGACCCAAAGAGTGTGAGTTCAATACCTGGTTAAGGCAGTGGAGAACTTGGCGACAAAGATGAGGACAATAGTCCTAATAATGTAAATAATGTACATAATACCTCATCTCAGAAATAGACAGATACTTCTTCCTGTAAGCCGCTTTTCAGATTTGATTTCCCGTTTTCCCTCGTCCCCTTATCAATCGTTTAGGATCATACAAATACCCCATTATAAATTTAGCGAAATTTACAACATTTTAATCATTTCATCCCAAGCAAGGCAATAAAGCCACTAAAAGGCAAGGAGTTACTGAGTGTGAGAGAATATCAGGAAAAACAAGAGAGAAAACAATAAAAGAAAAGGAATTAAGAAGACAGACGATAACGATTGATATTACAGTAACATTTTTGTACATCAAATTTGACCGAAAAGAAAGAAC